TGATGTGACTAGTTTCATGTTGTTCATCTTGATGCGCTAGCTTGGACGTGACCAGTTTCAAGTTAATTACATCTTGACGCACTAGCTTTGATGTGACTAGCTTTAGGTTAATTATCTTTATCTTGACGTACTAGCTTTGATGTGACTAGTTTTACGTTAGTTATATTCATCTTGACCGCACTAGCTTTGATGTGACTAGCTTTAGGTTAATTATCTTTATCTTGACGTACTAGCTTTGATGTGACTAGTTTTACGTTAGTTATATTCATCTTGACGCATCAGCTTTGATGTTACTAGTTTTAAGTTAATTATATTGACGTACTACTTTGATGTGACTAATTTCAAGTTATTCATCTTGACGCACTTGCTGTGATGTGATGAGATCTGTTTCAACCCAATAGACCACGCAACAAACAGAGTAAACGTGGGTCATAGATATTATTATTGAGACGACATACAAAGAATTGAGCAAGACATTATTGACAGAAGTATATTCCTATAGAATACAATTAAAGAAACTCTATAACCTTGTCGTTTCCGAGGGTTGACATACCTCCTTGAAATATACCTCCTACATACCGAACACCCCTGGTGATTTGCCAGTCCTCCAGCGAGTGAAATTACATAAGCACTTGTGATATTTATTAACTCTGAACGCTGTGTTGTACTTTAGTATGTAGTAGGTGTAAAGGTATCTAAACTATTCAATGTATTGATATAAAGTAAATGGCCAAAATATTATAGACGTAAACATTCCATGGGTGTCACTTATGGACATAGATAATTTACAAGGGTTGGTGGTGAACATTTCTAAGGTTGGAGATTTCGTTATCCTAAATATTCCGCAATCTAAGTATATACATACATATATTTATTTATAACATTAGTGTGCGTAACTGAAATATGAAAAGCTCGATTAACCCATTGACAGCTGATTCGCCGTATAGGGTACGGTCCGCAATCTAAGTATATATATATATATACATATATTTATTTATAACATTAGTGTGCGTAACTGAAATATGAAAAGCTCGATTAACCCATTGACAGCTGATTCGCCGTATAGGGTACGGTCCGCAATCTAAGTATATATATATACATATATTTATTTATAACATTAGTGTGCGTAACTGAAATATGAAAAGCTCGATTAACCTATTGACAGCTGATTCGCCGTATAGGGTACGGTCCGCCTCCGGCAATTGAATAAGAGTGTACTGTTTACAGTGTACGGCCTGCAAAAATTCCGCGCGCGTTTATAGCAGCCACAATCAAAGGGTTAAAATTACAGTTAAACACAAGTACATGTGAAAGTGTGGTTTATTCCTAAACTTATGTGTAACTTCAGGATTTTAGCTTACTTTACAAATTACAATAAGTAAAGTAAGGTAAAATCCTGAAATTACAATAAGTAAAGTAAGATAAAAATCGTAAAGTTACATTAAGTAAAGTAAGGTAAAATCCTGAAGTTATAGTAAGTAAAGTAAGGTAAAATCCTGAAGTTACAATAAGTAAAGTAAGATAAAATCCTGAAATTACATTAAGTAAAGTAAGGTAAAATCCTGAAGTTACAATAAGTAAAGTAAGGTAAAATCCTAAATTTACAATAAGTAAAGTAAGGTAAAAATCGTAAAGTTACATTAAGTAAAGTAAGGTAAAATATTGAAGTTATTGTAAGTAAAGTAAGGTAAAATCCTGAAACTACAATAAGTAAAGTAAGATAAAAATCGTAAAGTTACATTAAGTAAAGTAAGGTAAAATCCTGAAGTTATAGAAACAGGATTTTATCTTACTTTACTTATTGTAACTTCAGGATTTTACCTTACTTTACTTATTATATATATATATATATACGAATAGGACTATTTCATATTACATCATAGAAAACAAAATACTGTGACCTCGTCAAAAACACTTTTTAATAATATTTCATTAGCTACTTGTGACTCTAAAATGTTATTCACGAGTTTTTGTTTTAAATTTCATTTACCCTGAAAAACAACAACAAGCAAACCTACAAACTGTTTTGGAATCTACTTGACCCTGATAATGTTTGACTTTGAAAAAATATAACTTAACTTTTTAAACTGACTTAGTAGCAATAATCAGAACACATCAAACCATAAACACAGTTGTAAGATTAAACAAAAATTGTTTGTTTGTTTGTTGATCTTTGAACTTTATTTAAAACTAATGCAATATAGTGCTGTTGATTTGTCAATACACGCACTTTGAAATATGTCGAAAGAGTAATTGAGGCTATCCAGTGTAATCAAAACTTATTACACGTTGTAATTTATACCTCTGTAAGTTGAGGCACATCCTAGTTCTAAATCTAGCTTGAAGGCTATAACCTCATACTATTTTAATTCTACAGAATGCAAAGTTATATGTATTAACAAAACCCAAACCAAACTGTTCCCTAACCCTTAAGAGACTATTCTTTATCATCGACATATTATTCTATCTGTTAATATGTTCCAAACTTCAGTCACAGAGTATTTTCAACTCATTCCTCACAGCTCTGAAAAATATAACACAGATTGATATGACTGAATGTCTTACTGTTCGGCAAAGCGCATAATAAAACAGGGAGAAAAAAAAAAGAGGACCGAATGCTCCTCCCACATTTTTCAGAAAAGATGTTTTTTTTATGGGCAAACTCGGGTGTAAAATGCCGTAGAAATCCTTAAAAAGTGGTCGGTGAATCATGGATTTTATCAGGATATTTTAAATGTGGGAGATTCCCCCTGTGCTGAACGTTTTGACACCTATATTTCCAGGGTCTTATAAGTTCTGGCATAGGGGATAGATAAAACCCAACAAGTCCTGAAATAGTGGGGATATTTCCCTATATAGGGGACCGTTTTTAAAATGTGAAACGTGTATATGTACCCCTAAACATAGAGAACGAATGGCGTGGGGTTATTATTTTTGTTGATCGATTTTGTATGGTTAAAATGTTACTGTAGATTTACAGTATCTAATGTGTTTAATACACTATTGTTATACTGGCACTTAAAAGTTTATCCTTCCAGATACAGTACAGATTGTTGGAAGACGTTTTACAAAATATACAAATAGAAAACAAAGCGGTAATGATAATGCTTCAAAATCAAAAATATGGATAATATTTTATGTTCTAATGGTGTATTTAAATGTTTTACACTCAGAAAAAGAAACCTATCATTCTATAGGGATTTGAAGAACTTGTAGAATTCCGCCACAATTTAATACTTCATGTTTTTAGCCGACACTAGGCAGCTGATACATAATTGAACAGAGTTGTTTAAACATTTGTTTAACAACAAGAAATAGCTTGGAATGGTCTATTCTTTCATTGGGGGTGTGTCTGTGGGCTAGGCTAGATTCGAAGAATTCCACTCCTCATCACCATTTCAATTTTAGATACCTCAGTACTATAAAGGCTTGGTTTGGTCTGAGGTTTCATTCGGTGGTAGTGTCCAGGGTCAATGATGAGGAGTGGAATTCTTCGAAACTAGTCTGGCCAACAGACACAACCCCAATGAAAGAATAGACAATTCCAAGCTTTTAATTGTTGTTAAATAAATGTTTAAACAACTCTGTTCAATTATTTCATCCCCTGTTTCTCTAAACGTCTACACAATTTATTCGTTAACAAGTAGAGTAATCTGATAGCATTTATGAAGTTTTATCAAGAAAATATGTTGTTTTTTAAAAATAATGAATAATTCACATTAACTGACGTTGACCTGGCTTCATTTCCTGTCTGCTCAGTCCTAAAGTAATGCATGAAGTTTCATCTGCTAGCCAGTAGTATTGTACTTTGTATTATTTCTTACATGAGGTCTTTAGGGTAAGCAAAAATTTATGATTAAGTTTCGTTGAATTTCATTCTGCCGTTGTTATGGTCATGCTCTTAATCTGTTCATGTTTTTTTAGTATAATTTAATCATCAACATCTAAATTGGAACAAATATTACAAAATAGATACACATACCGTGAACGAAACGTTTATTACATATATATTAAATAGTACAATATCATTTAACAAGAGAGAAGGTAAACACATGTTCTTCTTATTGAAATTCCTTCAAAGTATTTTTGCTAATGAAGATTATATTCAGGCTTTTTATGTTGTAATTCAACAAATACAAAATTTTTTAAACCAAAACAAAGATCACCACATCACGTGAAGTGGGATATAATAGAACTGCATAAACGGCGTTTCTCCAAAGTTAACTCATACTGACGATGACAAGTTAATTCTGGCGAAACGTTGGCGTCATTAATGCACTTCTTCAAAATACCAATTTTAGACGTTTTGCTTTACTTTATTTGTTCATTCAAAAGGCTTGATAATTCCATCTACAGCGATACAAAAAGCTTAATCATCCCATATGTAATTCCAAAGAGTATTTACAAATTTCCCATGTTACATAGTAATACAAACAGTTTGGTAATGATGTCTGTGTACAAAGAACTCAAACATTCCACCTACAGTGATACAAAAGGCTTAATAATCTCTTCTGTAAGGATAAAAATAGCTTAAATCTCTCGTCTTCACTGATATAACTTACACAATCATTCTACCTCTAGTATAAATAGGCTTAATAAATATGATTGTAGCAATACAATTATAGACCAACAATCCCATCCACCTGTAATGATACAAGTAGCTTATCAATCTCACATGTAGCGATATATATAGTTTAATATTTCCACCTTTTTTAAAAAAAACTTCCACGTATAAAAGAACCTAATAATACCGTTTGTACTAAAACAAAGAGTTTAATGTTTATCCCTGTATTGGTTAAAATGGTTTATGAACATTGTGTCAGAATAAAAAAAGCGATTTTATTTGGCTGTGGCTTGTGTATGGTTAAGGTGACTGCACCCTTATACTTGCGAGTAGTTTTTACCTCTAGTTTTCTTATATGCTAAGCTTGTTAGGTTTATATTTAAATCACGTCAAGATCTGGAGCTCTGTATTATACCACAGAGACAATATACCTTACCTTTGCCGCCTGGTCAAGGTAGCCTGACGTCATACCTATGAGAGGAGCACCAGCATATCCTGCGATAAGCGACGGAAAGAACGACACAGGCCGGTCAACGAAGGTCAGAATCAAAGCGGGACTGTTCCTCTCTATTGCCTCACATAGAACACTAATACTTGATTGGGTGTTGTTTTGTAAGGTGACCCACCGAGTCAGGAGCGTTATGTTTTTCGCTCCCAGTTTGCTGTCTGCCTCTCCCATAGCTCTCCGGAGCACACGGCCAAGCTGCGGGGCCGAGGCTGGGGGAAAGGCTGCGAGAAGAGGCAAGACCAGCCCCGTAGTACGGCCGGTTAGGTATAGAAGAAGCGTCAAGACAGACCAGTAGACCATACTCTCCTCTGGCACGGGTCTCATCGACAGGCCGGCAGCAATACCGAAACCCTGCCTGTAGCAGCCTGAGGCACGCTAAACAGGCAGAAGGGCCAGGATGTGCCATTCGGCGATACCTAACTACCGTTGTTTGGGAACGGCATCCCGACGTGGCGACCTGGTAAGGATGATAAAGCCACACCTGAACCGAAGCAGGGAGAGTATTCCTTCTTGTATCTTAAAGACGACACCTTGAAAAGTGGCTTTCTTTTACAAACGCATGGTGAGCCTACTGTATCATAGCAAGAGCCCGCGCGCTGTTATGTCAGACATTTAGCTCAGTTGCGCATGTCACAACGATGTTCTAGCCCTAATCGATTTGATCGTTGACTAAGTCTCCTTAAAGTTGGTGTCACTATGTAGCTCGCCGAAAGGACGCCCAGACTTGCCAAGTCGTTAGGCTCGGCTATTGAAATTCATCGCTTATGGAATTAGCAACGTTTTAATTATACCGGAAAAAGACAAGCGCTCTTTAAATATTCCGGAAGTTTCCTTCAACCAATCAAACAAACACATCCAATTTCACTACGTGCGTCTTTGAAAGCTGATGCGGAATAGATAATGTTAAAAATCTTTCATCAACGTTTTGATCTAACCTTATTTATCAACATTGATCAAAGAAAACTAAGTTGATTAGTGGAAGAACAATGTTACAGTGTTAACGTCAATTCATCATAGCTTGAAAGTATTAGCAAATTTATTTCTTCAACTTACCAGTATTAATGGTTTAATTTTATCTTTATAATCCAATTAATAATGCATTACTGCGGTTGAAAAAAAACAACAACTGTATAATGATTTGGATTACGATTTTTTAAAGATAAGTTTCGACAAATCTCTCTCTCTTACTCTGCCAACATTGTCGTATAACGCATGCGTACTAATACACATGTGAGAAAACACAAGCGCCACGCAAAACGAGGTTTTGGCATTATAATTACCAACTATTAGTAAACCCTGAATTTTTTTTTGACAGTTAATTCAAGCTATTCTTACACGCCTCGGCCCATTTTAAACGTTAACAACACCCCATCAACACGGACATCCTCTACGATAAGCAAGCTAAGTGAGCAGACTAGAAGCTTTAACAGAGAACCGTTTGAGTTAGTTCACTAACGATAAACATATCAAGCAAAGAAAGGCCAAAGAGAAAATACAAATTCAAAAAGTTCATATCTTTGTTTCTCATGCTAATGTCTACCTTTCACATATTTATTTTTATTTTCAGACATAATTTCTCTATGTAAGTCTTTCAAAGCTGATACGGTATAGACGATGTTAAAAAATCGTATCTGTCAGAATTGATCAAATGAGCACGTTTATAACATTATTGTTTTGAACTCCACCAATAAGAAAATGTCATACATTTGTAAATGATGCATTTATTTATGCCATTTTCTTATTGGTGGAATTCAAAACAATAATTTTTATGTTTGTAGATTTTATTAAGTCTTGCGTCTTTTAACGTTAAATCTTCTCAAACATATTATATACAAAAAAATAATAAAAACGGCTTGAATATACCTTGCTTAAGGAGTTTTATTAATATTTCTAAAATATGAAATCTAGTCCAAATATTTTCTTCTTCTTCTTTGGTGTAAATACCGACGAATGGGAAGTCAACACATAAATCTGAATCTATTACTTTGTTGAATTATGGTTGAAGATATTCGTAAAAAATTCAAAACTAATTATATCATTATTTACCCTTATATAAGTCTTTATAACTACGTTTATGGATCTTGGTTTGTATTTTCTTAAAACGGAGAAACACTATCGCGTACTAGTGATAATATTAGTCTTTGATACTTTTAACTTCCCTGATTTGTTCAATAGCGTTTAAAAATGCATTTTTAAATCAATGGAAGGTTTATAGAGGTCGTTCAGCACTAATCCAGTACTCAGTTAAGACCTTTTGAAATTAAAATCATAGAATCATCAATGTTCTCCTACATCTAGATGAGATATCACAGATCTTGAATTCGTTATAAAAGGGGGGTAAGGAAAGTTTACTCATTTCTTCATACATTTTAAAGATCTTGAATTCGTTTTAAAAGGGGGGGTAAGGAAAGTTTACTCATTTCTTCATACATTTTAAAGAAAACGTCATACGTACGCATATATTGCATATTACCAAGACATAACTGAAACTGTATCCTCAAAAGACGGTATTTTGAATGCAATGTTAAGATAAAAGTCATAGATATACACACAAACTGGGAAAAATATATTTCCTCAAATCAATTTGGCGTATACGATAATACTCTTTATTCATTGTTGAAACTATGTTAAACACGTGAAGGTTTTATTATAGTTTAGAAGTTAAGAATGAGGTTAAATAGAATGCTTCTGTTTGTTACGATATTTACTTATGTCTGTTGTTTTTAGCCCCTGTAAAACTATTTCTATTGCATAGCTCACAGTTCATAGCCCTACATTTTGAACAAATCCATTATATAAGAGGTTAATGTCGTAAAACTCTTCCCACAGTTTAAGTCCGATTTGGATGAAACTTCGCACAATTTTTCAACATCATAAAGGGAAGTTCCTAACAAAGTTTCATTACAATTGGGTCTCTTATAAAAAAAAACGGTTATTCACTTCATGTATCCACTTTTCTTTTTTTAGAAATAAGTCAATAACAGCTTTACAACCGCCTGTAGGACAACGTTTCTGCTAGTAATGCATATCTTTCACTTTTAAAATATTAAAACATACATTAACCTCCTGTCCATAAATCACATTATTTATTGGAAGATGATGCAATATTATGTTAACGTTTCGTTTGATCTTAATATTGACAGAGAAAAGATAATTATGAAATTCACTAGTTTTGTCTTCAAAAACTAGGGTTTTAACGGACTTAAATATTTAACGTATTTACTGTGTTGAGGAAAAATATATAGCAAAATTGGCTGTTGTTTTAAAAATGTTTTCTTTACAACCAATAAACACTTCATAGCTCATTTCAATTTACGCAAGTGTGTGTGTGTGTCTTTAATAATTATCTGTGGTAACGTCAAAAGTTTTAACTGACAACACAAATCAGTGTGTGTGTGTGTGTCTTTAATAATTATCTGTGGTAACGTCAAAGTTTTAACTGACAACACAAATCAGTGTGTGTGTGTGTGTCTTTAATAATTAT